CGTCACGAACTAACGTTTAAGTTTACGTCATCGACAACTACTCTCTCCACCCCCACCCCCCCCCGACCCCCCCCCCCACCCCCACCACACACACACACAACATGTTCCGTGTGGTTTAAAGATGAACTTATTCGTTTGTGCTTTGGAGCAGATTGAAATGATATACAAGATTGTTGCACATATGGCAGCGAATGATAGAGCGCTGATAGCTGAAGGCAGTTGTGGATCACCACGAAGCATCAAAGTTTTCCTTGGAGAGTGTAATGTGGACGAGCTATACGCTTGAGTTTAGATGATTTATTCATCATATTTATCCCTTTTTATTGGAAGTTTTACTAGAAAGGGCGCTACGGAATCTGAGCTCATGAGAAAGGTACGGGTGCCACAACCGTTCGAAAATGCCTCGTGAATCTAAACGTAATTGGGTGTATGCCAAAGTATTCCAGGACCCTCATGTCTAATTGTATCTTTGTTTTTTTACTTTACTGTTTTCTGCTTTTGTTTTACTTTCTATACCAAAATAATCTCTCTTTCTCTCTCTCTCTCTCTATATATATGTTTTAATTGCTGTCAAGCAAAAGGCACCCACACATATATACATGGGAAAAGTATACAATTAGACCGTTTGTATTTGATGCAAGCAAGTCACAATTAGTCTTCTGCCATTGGATGTTAAATTGGGTGGCTGCATTTGTTCCAATAAAAAGCTCAAAGTTAAAAAGAAAATTTTCTAACTTTATGATACACCTTCAAGCTATCAAATGTAACATCAGATGGCTATAAGTGATTGTCATCTTTCTGTGTCAAAAGTAAATTGTCTCATAGCATACAATCCATGTGATGCAAGTAGTTTATGTCAATGTTTAAAGGAAAATTGTTTCATGCTGGCTGGACCGCATTTCTACATATGCGGTTTAGAAAATGTAAAGCATCCTTCTTAAAGATGGATGCAAGTAGGTGTTCCATCTAAAAACAATGTAAACTGACGGTCCAAATGTTTCCTTACTAGAATTATTATTTATAGTTTTTAAAATTTGTTTATTTTTGCATATTCATGATTTCATGTTAGAGTTTACATGTCCTTAAAAATTAAGTCTTAAAATCCATCTCAAAAACAGATCTATTAATAGGCCCGCATTTCTACATATGCAGGCCGGGTCCATGTTTAAATACTAGCAGTCCGGATGGGGATTGCCAATTCGGGCTGGGAATCAGTCTAAACGGACCTTCTTCATTGGTTCATTGATGAATCGGGAAGTGGTCTAGTTCTTATGGAGTCGCCTGATGGATGTCCAAACCGGCCTGGTTCGTTGTTGAATCAGGAATAGGTTCAGTGCTTGTGGACTTACCTGGTTCTTTCAGGAACCAGGTCAGAGTCTGTCAAGGAATCAAACGATCCAGGCCAGCCAGATTTTCTTGTTCCTACACATTATTTTTGTTTATTATTTTGCTATTTAGTTTAGTTTTACATGCCAATTCTCACGCCAGAGAATCAGTCGCTGACCTGCTTTCCAAATGTCGAGTTCAACCTGCTGGTATGGGTTTCTAAACACTCTTATCATGTTAATGGACACCAAGCAGATGAACGACACACTCCAAGGGTCCGTTGTTGACATCGGACAGTTGGAGAGCTGCTGGCAATAACCCAAATTCTAGCTTCTTGTGCGTATCTGTTCGTTAATTTGAGTTCTATCTGCCATGGTGTATGAAAAAACAGCTTGGTCGACCTGAACTGGTCCATGGTTGGTTCCAATTTGGACATGTTTGGGAAAATCCCAAAAAAGGTGAAATAAAATATTTGAACTGAAGTTTTAGGTTATTTTTCTCTTTAAAGAAGAAAACAAAAGGCCAAAAGTTATTGATTTTCTTTTTAATCAAATTTTAAAAAATATTTTAAATGTGTTAAACAACTGTAAATCATTTGGACCTCATGTAAGAAGAGCTATGTTTGAAGTCTGACAGATCTGAGCTCAAGTCTTTTAAGAACTCCCAATCTTTTAGAACTATAATTGTGCAGATCTTATGAGGGTTCACCAGTACAGATCTTGGGACAAATTGCAGACAAGATAGATGTGAAAGGAGGAAGAACAAGCAAAAAAGGCTTGAAAAAAGAAAGTGTTAAAAAAAAAATTGTTGTTGATAACCTAGGATGAGAAATCCAAATCCATACAAATGTAAAATGATGAAAGACGTGTTTTAGTTGCATGATTTTCAAACTCAAATTTCCATCCATCAAATAATCAGTTTTATCTCCTCCCACATAAGAATGAAGCTGAAGCATAGATATATCTCTCTTTCTTTATCATTAAAATTTTCTAAAAGGTAACTATCTTATTTTCGTTCGGATAGAAATTCATATAGAATTGTTGAAAAATACCATTCTCGATAATAAAAGGGATTCGATGCTACACCGCTACTCAACACCTTAGTGGATCAACTCTATTACATAAATTGACTATTACCTATATATCTCATATCTTGACATAAGTAAGCAGATCTTGTTGTATGGCCCAAAACCTCAATCATTGATCTTTACGGTGCTTTGTCTATCAATTAGATCTTTGTTGTTGATAACCTAGGATGAGAAATCCAAATACACACAAATGTAAAATGACGAAAGATGTGTTCTATAACTATAGAAAACAAATAAGGGTGGCAAGGGGCCGGTTGGCTTGGCTTGACCCTAAAAGATGAGAGCTTGGGTCACAAAATGTGGCCTAAGTGCCGGGCTGGGCATGACGAGGCTGGCCTGGTTCGGCCCTCATTTTTAATTACCTTACATTCTATTTTTGTAAAAGCATTTCTAGCCCGGCCCTGAGAGGGTTAGGGCCCAGCTTGGGCCAAGGACTCTTTGGCCTAGAGAAGGATGAGGTGGGATGGGCTTGGGCTAGGGCTGGGGCCGGCCTATTGCTGACCTTAGAAACAAAGATTTTGAAACAAATTTGGAAGAAAATGTGAGAGGAATGAGGGATTAAACAAATAAATGCGTCCTGAGTGAGTTCAATCAAAATCAATCAAATATTGATTTTTGCCAATTTTAAACAAACCAAATATTTTTTTTGAATTAGACCGACCAAAACATCAATTGATACTTTGATTGGTTGGACCAACCTTTCCCATCTGATTTTTATACTTATGATATGGTGTGTTCCTATAGATGTATCATTTTTCTCACTGGCAAAAGATTTTTAGGAGGATTATTTTAGTCTTGAAATTAGGGATGTACTTTAGGATCACCAAATGAGAACCTAAAAAAACAAAAAAAAATTGAATTTTCAGTTCCTCAATACTTTAAAGTATGTGTCGACAGTCTCTATTGTATGTTCAACTGTTATTTCTTTCATATTGATTTGTTGAAGAAGTTACGTCCCAAAAAATATAAAATACACTCCCATACACGGTTTTAGCTATGCGATATGCTTGGCATATAGTCGTTTGGCTGCCTATTTAAATCCTTGGAAAATAATTATCAAGAATTTTTATTTATTTGTTTTGACAGAAATCGTATTTTCACATGGAGGCCAAAATAGCACAACGTATTTCTTTGCCTTCGTCCAAAAAAATTCATTTTCTTTGCCATTTCCCTGGCAAAAATATCAAAATAAATATGGCTTCATGAGGGTTCGCACCCGTACAAAATGACACTTCCCTCTCCTCTCATTCCTCTCTCTCTCTCTCTCTCTCTCTCTCTCTCTCCTCCTTACTCTCTCTCTCTCTCTCTCTTCTCTCTCTCTCTCTCTCTGTCGTAGCTTACCACTATCTTCGGGCCTCTTTGCGAATCAAAAAGGTGTGAAATAGCTGCAGATACATTTCAATAGAGGAACTGGGTAATAACTAGAGAGTCAAGTAAAACTCCTTTCCTCGTAATATCATCCGCAATATCATGGGCCACTTTATAAATATGGCCAAAAGACACCACACCAGTTAAAGACAAATCCATCACTTGCAACCAAAGAGACCTAAGTCTCCAAGGAGGTCTGGCTCTTCCACTACACCAATTAATTACATTAGATGAATCTCCTTCTATTACCAACGAACTCCCGAATGACAAGCCCTTGAAGTAAAGCAGCCAATTCTGCATGAAATGCAGTCACGTCACCCCAGGGGCAGCATAACAATATATTATATTTCTATTGGGTTTACGTAGCTTTTAAAGGCATTATGAGAGCTTATATGAGCATTTTATATAGTGAAACATAAACTCGGTGGGAGTGTGGTCCTTTTTGTGTAACATACTAGGCAAATGTTATTTACTGATACTCGGACTAAACTTGACGAGCCAGGCTAGCCGAGGTTTGAAAAAACCCAAGATACCTAGGCATAGGGATCTACCGAGAAAGGTTTAGTGGGTTATCTCTTGATGAGGTCGGAGTATGCCCAGATGAGAGCCAAGGTGAGTATGTCCAGATGATAGCCAAGGGATTGTGTAGCCCTTGCGTATGATGAATAGCCTTTAAAAACATGGCTAAAACCTCATTGGTATATCATCACACGGCATGTATATAGATAGCCGTTTTGATATTTGCCAATGAGGGTAAAGCATGTACATGTACATGTATGAAAGATTACCCCTATGCACCATAGAGTCATAGTTGTATCATGGTCTGGATGGCCATGATTTTTTTTTTGTCTTTAGGGAAGAACATGAAATCCATAAACTGGGATTGTGTCATCTAGTCTATTGGCTGACTTTGGTGGTCTAATCATGAGCCCTTGTAGTCGACTGTGGGTCATGGAAACTGCTGAGTCAGTTTGAGAAAACTCGACGGATCATGATTCGCAGTTGAAGGTGGAGTGCTCCCATATATTGTTAATTTCCTAGATCTAACGGATCCGATTCCCATCAAAATTAATTAATTTTATGTTATGTGATTTTTAAAATATTTAGTTGAATTTTTGTGAATCTTATGATATTTTATTTTTGTCAGTTGAATTTATAAATTAAAATAATTAAATTTTCAATGTTTTAAATAAAATACAAGATTTAAAAATTCTAAATATGAAATAAAATATTTTCTAAAAATATATAAGACTTCTATAAAATATGGGGGCCAAAATTTAAATACATGTAGATTAGGCGGGCCTACACGTGGCCACCAAAAAGGTGGCACACCCTACCCATTCACGTATTTTTCTTGGGAAGAATATTTATCCCTTGTTGGCTTATCTTTTGGGTATTGAATATTTGAGATATTTATTAAATCTTTAAATCAAGATTGGTTGATCTAATAATTAAGGATTTTTAAAATATAAGCTTTTTTTTATTTAATGGCAATCTTGATTCAATAATTAACGATTTGATATATTAAAATATAAGCTTTCCATTATGGGAACAAGTTTAGGAAATGAAGGATAAGGCTCTAGCTCATCTCTTTGAATGTTGATAGTGGATCAAAGAGATTGATGACTCAAATATTTCACCCTACAAGTTTTATTAAATCGAGGATTGAGATTTGGCCCTACGAATTGAGGCAAAATCTATAAAATGAGTTCTTCTCTCTTAAAATGAGATACGTATTATCTTCTCTCTCTTTACCAATTCTCTTTCTCCCTACCCAAAATTTAGCTCTCTCTTTCTCCCTACCCAAAATTTAGCTCTCTTCCAAAGGAGAGGGACGCCCCAATTTTTTATCTCTCTCCAAAGGGGTGGCACGCCCCAATTTTT